AAACTGGTATGTTGGTTCAAACATTTGACAGCAAAACAGGCAAATAAACCTCACAGCTGGTCCTAAAAGCTAACTCTCATGCTTTTCATCAACTTCAACAAGTTTCAAATGATACAAACAAGACCAAACCATAACAAAACAATAGTTTAAACACTTGAGATGAAACATGGCAAGCACAAGCAGTTGCATACCAATCTTAGCACAACATTCATGAACAAGAGTATAGCAAATGAAACAAGTATCACAAAAGCTAACCTAGATTCAAACATGACCTAGGGGCAGGGGAACCTCATGAAATAGCTAACAAGCAAATCAAATATCACAAACAAACAAGGGTTGATAAATTTAGGGTAAGCACAACAACATTTCATGTTTGGATCCCTAAAGCTAATCTTGTGGACAAATCCTCAAAACAAGTTGTAAACAACATACAAAGTTCATTATTGACAGGAAATAATCAACACATCATTCATGAATAATATACTTTAACAAAAGCAATATCATAGCAATAAAACACAAACTCTTGACTAAGAGCCAATTTGGGACAGCATGACTATGGTTTTCACAACAAGAACTCCAAAATTGCAAAACATGATAATGTATGTATAATGAAGAGGTTGAGTATTACATACCTCTTATAGACCTTCTTGAGCAAGTTAGAAAGCAAAGAAACCCAGAGATCTTCTTCCTTGGCACAGATTTGGAGTTTTCTTCCTCTTGAAGCAATAAACTATCCTTTAAGACAGTTTGAGTTATGAACTTCCCAACTAGTTTTTGGGACTTTGGACAGTTGAAATATGATATATATGAGGTGTTGGGAGTGTTGAGGTGGTAGGAAAGGCCTTAAGTAGAGACTTGGCTTCCAAAGTGCATAAAAGTCAACATATAAAGGTATGAAGGTTGACTTTTAGATTGATGATTTTTTTGATGAAAGTAATGGTGGGAACAGTTTCAAATGACCATTTTAAGGGTGTATAGATGGTCTTTGAAGTGTTTTGATGTTTGGAAAAGAAAATAGCATGAAAAGTGGAAAATGGTGATTTTGTGATTTTTGAGAACTCAAGCAATTTCAAGCAAGGATAGGAATGAGAGAGCTATGAGTTTCTTGTGTTCTTGATAGCTCTGGTGTTTTGTAACATAGAGAAAGGTCTCTATTTATAGGGAAAATGAGGGTGAGGGCAGCCTTGGCTTTTCCACATTTTGGAGGGAGATTTGGAAGAAATCTTGCCAAAATCTTGTGACAGCTCTACACATCAGTTCCTTGGCTCAAGGAAGTCCAGAAAACCAAGTGGAATGATGCATGAAGTGACTGCATAGAGCTTAGAGTGATGATCTTGCAGCTGCTACAGTTTTTGGAGAAAAGTTTCTCTTTCCTCTTTCACATTTTGATTATTATATTACCACTTGTTGCAACTTGCCTCTCTCTCTCTCTTCACTTATTTCATTTTTCTACATTTTTAACTCATCCACACCTCTAAATATCAGAATGAACATGATCTAATGGCTGAGGGTAGCCTAAGTTGTTGAATTTTGAAATTTGGAAAAAGTTGAAGTGGTGACTTCAAGTGTGGCAGCCCCAACTTCCATGATCCATAACTCTCTTCTCATAAATGCTATTGAGGAGCTCTACTATATTTTAGAAAGCGCTCGAGTAGCTCTACAACTTTCATGTTTTTGAGATTTTCAAATTTTAGATAAAACTAGGTTAAAAAACCCTTCCAAGTTGCTGAAAAATCATACTTAAAAGGCCAAATAACTTAGAATTTTTCCTAAGTTATTTCCCTTCTTGAAATGAATTTGATCATAACTCCAAATCTATGCATTTTTTGATCATGAACTACTTTGGGACTTTTGTAGGACTTGTCAAGAGCTTTCAATTAGCTTTGAACCACTTCATTTGGATGTGTGGTTGAGGAGTTATGGTCTTACCCCTTTCAAAACCCTAATTCCCGATTTTTGTAATTACTTCCTAACCCTTGATCCAATGGTCATGAAATTTTATGGGAAGGTGTAATATGACATAAGGAACATTTTTTATTCACATCTTGAAGTCAAATTCCTAATGGTTGAAGAATTGACTTTTCGGTCAACCGTACGATCAATCGGTGACTACCGAGTCAACTGTCGATGCTCTGGACCTTTTGAGGCCTTGAAACTCTTTGAATGGACTTTACTAAGCCATAGTAACTTCATGGACCATGATCCCACCATTGAAACACTTTTTAAATCAAAAGTCAAACTACAGTTGACTTTTCCTGATCGAAAACCCTAATCGGGTATCCTGAACTGCACTGTCTTAATTCTTGGGTGACAACCTCAAATTGGATTCATGCTTGACCCAATTTAGTATCCTTAATCTTGTTTATAGTTGAATAAATCCAATACATTGATTGATCAAACCATCGAAGCCTCGATTTTGACGGTACGGAACCCTGATTCATCTGCATTTTGACAAAGATAAACTTGAAGTGGGTTAAGGTTAGTTAATAAAATGAATATGATCCTAAAATGATGATGAGGATCTAAGGGGTCAAAATTTGGGGTGCAACAGGAAGGCAACAGAACAATATCAAGCGTCTAACGAGTTTGCTAAGAAGATGGAGTCTGAACTGAATGCTTTGAAGGCATTTATCATGCAGAAGCTTGACCCTACAAATGGTCAATCTGCTAGTGTTGTTATTCGATCGTCAAATCCTCACTATGATGATGATTTAGATGACCAATCATTAAGTGAAGATTGATCATGTAGTGTTAGTAGAAGTAGTCTCGGATGTAAAAAATTTTGGACATGATTTTCAATGTATTTCGAGTTTTTGGGGTTGTTTTTTGTTGTAGCTATGACTACTTTTTTTGTTGTTGTTTCAATCTATGTAATATTTTGATAACTCTTACTTCATATGTGTTATATGTTTTGATAAATTATTTATGATCTTGATAAATTGATTGAAGGAGAACACGACATGACATAATTGTCATTATTGGAAAACATGGTCAGCATATATAGATTATACAATTGGAAAACATGGTCAGCATATATAGATTATATAATTGGAAAACAGGCATAATTTTGTTGACTTTTACAATTTGACTTTAGCCTCGGTTAGGCCAAAGTTAAATATTTTGTTGACTTATAAAGTCTGAACTTAGCCTCGAATAAATTGAGGCAAAATGTTCCTTGAGCCTCGACTAGGACCAAGGCTAAATATTATGTTGGATTATGGAGTTTGACTTTAGCCTCGGTCAGGCCCAGGCTATTTTTTGTTTTTTGACACGGCTTCACCGAGGCTAAATGTTAGACACGGCTTAACCGAGGCTAGATATTAGACACAGCTTCACCGAGGCTAAATGTTAGACACGGCCCTTTCTGGCCAAAGCTAAATGTTAGCTTCGATCGTTTTAGCCTATCCCTGACACCGAGGTTACGCCGAGGCTAATTGGCTAGTAGCGGCGGTTTTTTGCCTTATAGTGTCGGAAAATGGCCGAGGCTAAATACAACATTTCTAGTAGTGATTGCACATGAACATCTGATTCGACAAACACAGTTGAGAATTGGTATATAGATATCTAACTCTTCCCAAAAAATTTTGAGTTTTGAAAAAAATCTGTAACAAATTTGGAATCTTGCTTCAAAGCATTGATTTCTTGCTGAAGTTCAAAAATGTGAATAAGATCACTTTGTGAAAATCTTTCCTTGAGATCTTTCCTTACATCAATGGAGTTTTCCATGTAAACTATTGAGTGATCAATAGATTCAGAAATTGAATTGATGATCCATGAAAGGATTAACATGTTGCATCGGTTCCAAACACACACGGTTGGATTAAAAGGATCGTCTGGAATTGTGATGAAATCATTAATGAATTCCAGTTTCTTCTTGGAACCAAGTGCAGGCCGCATTGATCGTGCTCTAGAATGATAATTCGAACCATTAAGAAGATGTGTAACCTTGATTGAATTAAGTCCATCACTTGGATATTCGAAATATGGACTAGTTTGATCAAGTTGCGGATCAAGAATTGAAGCATTTCGTGGTGACACCATTGATGAAGAAGATGTAGCAGAAAATTAGAGGTTGAATGGAGCGGAAGTGTAAGGTTGAATCAAAATGACGAATGATACCATGTTAGAATATTGAGATACTCGTGGAGAAGAAGAAGAACAACAATTGAAGAACAATTGAAGAAGAATCTGTTATTGCATTGATTCAGATCATGAGAACAAATGAGATTACAACAAATTTATATATCAATCTAGATAACAAACTAACGAAATAACTCCTAAAAAGAAACTCAAACTTACTCTTAACAGAATTTTAAATAAGCGTTTTCTAAAGTGGCAAGTGTGAATAAGCATGATAAACATGAAGATAGCTCCTATGCAATATACTTTAACACGAACCAATCAAAGTTGAAGACTTCAAAGTTTTTAACTCGATGAAATTCGTCTCCTTAAATTACTCACTAAAAGAGTTATAATGTTGCAATATTAAAGTTCACTTCAAGTTTAACCAGAGATCCTGAATTCGAATCCAACTCAAGACACCCAATTTAAAACACACAAGTTAAATTCTTTTTAAAAAAAAATTACCGTCTATTATAATTCTCCCAGCTTGAAAGCGATCAAGGACGCCTACTTTGAAAAGAAAAAAATATGCGCCATTATTAATAATGGTAATTTTAATAGCCATTTTATAATAATCTCAAAGTGTGATATCCATCTAGTCATTGATATAACTATTTATTTTATAGTAATTTCACGTGTCATTTGTATCATTTGTAGTGTCATTTGTATCATTTGTAGTGTCATTTGTAGCATGTACCTTGAAATTATTAAATAATGTATTATTGTATTACTTTCTCATGAAACGAATAAAATATCTATCGTTGTATAGATTGTGTCAATGTTGACTTAGGTTTATGCATTGCAAAGTATGAATCTGAACTGAAGCCACAGTTACAACCACTTTTGCATTTTCTTCATTTACTTTGTTGTGATCATTCATGGCTGAATCATTTGTGTTTGATATTGCTGATTCATTGCTTGGAAAGCTTGCTTCATATGTTTGTGAAGAAGCTTCTCGAGCCTATGGTGTTTACGAAGATCTTCAAGGAATCAAAGACACTCTATCAATTGTCAAAGGACTTGTATTGGATGCTGAAGAAAAGAAGAACCAACAACATGCCTTGCGTGAATGGATGAGACAGATTCAAAACATTTGTTCTGATGCTGAAAATGTATTCGATGGATTTGAGCTGGAACACAAGAAAAAGCAAGTTCTAGAAGCTTCTAGCAGCACTCGGCTGAAATAAGCCATTTCTTATCTTCCTCTAATCCCCTTGTTTTCCGTTCTAAGATGGCACACCAAATCAAAGAGATTAAGGATAGATTGGATAAGGTAGCAACCGATGGGACTAGATTTGGTCTTGCAACAACAAGTGTTGATCCTGGATTTATTCTGCAAAGGAGAGAAATGACTTTCTCTCATATAGATGCTTTGGATGTTATAGGAAGGGAGAATGATAGGGAAGAAATTATTAAGCTTTTAATGCAACCTCATCCTCAGGGTGATGGTGATGGTGACAAGAGTTTGTGTGTTATTCCCATTGTGGGAATTGGAGGATTGGGGAAGACCACACTTGCTAAGTTGGTATTCAATGATAAGAGAATGGATGATCTTTTTCAATTGAAGATGTGGGTGTGTGTCTCTAATGATTTTGACGTTAGAAAAATAATTATTCAAATCATCAACTCTACTTCAGAATCGATTCCATCGGCTCCTCTTGCTTACCAAGAGAACATTAACAACTTAAATATTGAGCAGTTACAGTGTCGTCTTCGAAATAAGCTTTCTAAGCAAAAGTTTTTGCTTGTATTGGACGATATATGGAATGACGATCGTGCAAAATGGATTATATTAAAAGACTTGTTAAAAGGTGGGACAATAGGAAGCAAAATATAGTGACAACACGCAGTAACTCAATTGCTTCAATGATGGGTACTTTCCACTCCTATGTTTTACAAGCTCTTTCTCATGAGAGTTGTTTATCTTTGTTTGTCAAATGGGCATTTAAGGAAGGTGAAGAAGATAAATATCCAAATCTAATGGAGATCGGAAAACAAATTGTGATAAAATGTCGAGGGGTTCCACTAGCAGTGAGAACATTAGGATGTTCTTTGTACTCGAAATTTGATTTAAATAAGTGGAAATTTGCAAGAGACTCTGAAATATGGAATTTAAAACAAAATGAAGATGACATTTTACCAGCGCTTAAGTTAAGCTATGATCAATTGCCATCTCATTTGAGGCATTGTTTCACATACTTTTCACTTTATCCAAAAGGTTTTGTCTTCACTAGTGTTAAAATCACTACTCTCTGGATGGCACTAGGATTACTACAATCACAAGATGGAAATCAAAGTCTTGAGAGTATTGCAAGAGATTATATTGATGAACTGAATTCAAGGTCATTTCTTCAAGATTTTGAGGACTTTGGCTACTTCTACTATTTCAAAGTACACGATTTGGTGCATGATCTTGCATTGTATGTTGCGAAAGACGAGTGTGCAGTAGTTGACTCCCATACTCGGAATATATCTCAGCAAGTAAGGCATTTCTCAATGGTTGATAATGGTTCGCTTGACAGTGCTTTATTCCCCAAATCCAAAAGTGTGAGAACTATACTATTTCCCATCAAAGGAGTGGGCCTTGACAGTGAATCTTTGTTGGATGCATGGATATTAAGATACAAATATTTGCGGATTTTAGATTTGAGTGATTCTTCGTTTGAGACTCTACCCAATTCAATTGATAAATTGAAGCACTTGCGTGTTCTCAATTTTTCTGATAACTGCAATATCAAAAGACTTCCCCTTTCTATTTGCAAACTCCAATGTTTGCAAGTTTTGTTACTTGGTGGTTGCATGAATCTTGAAACATTGCCTAAAGGATTAGGTAAACTAATCAGCCTTCAAAAACTGCAGATAACCACAAAGCAATCTGTCCTGTCACTAGATGAATTTGCAAGCATGAGCAAACTTCAAACTTTATGCTTTGAAGATTGTGGCAATTTGGAGGCTTTGCTCGGAGAGGTACAACTCGCTTCCCTTGAAGTATTGACTTTTTATCGTTGTGGAAGCCTTGTGTCCTTACCTCTTTGTAGTTTCTCTAAACTAGAGCTTTTGCAAGTCGACGATTGTAAGAGGCTACAGCTCCGACTGCCAGAGAATCCTCAAAGCAAAACGAAAAGATGGAGGATGAAATTTCTTCGTCTTGAGAATTTTCCAGAGCTACATACATTGCCAGAATGGATTGAAAGAGCTGCAGAGACTTTACAGACCTTGATAATTATAAATATTCCTATGCTTTGGAAACTTCCTGATTGTTTGACAAGAATGACTTGTCTTAAACTAATCTATATTGCCGACTGTCCTCTTTTGGATTCTCTTCCAAGTGGCTAGCAACACCTCACTTCCCTTGAAGCTTTGACCATAGATGGTTGTCCTAAATTATGTCAGAAATGTCAGCCACATTATGGTGAGTATTGGCCCATGATTTCTCACATTAAACGTGTTTCTATTGGAGAACCATAAAAATAAGAGAAAGGGTTCCTCAGGAAGGAGAGATGAGCAACGATGATCTACTACCGTACCTTAGGTAAGAACATAACTGTTTGTTTAACTTAAAACTTTCCTTGTAATTTTGTAGTTTCAAATAGATAAATAGTGTTTTGATAGGGTAATAATATGTTGTTCATTTTCAGTGATGAGGTTGAGAAAGAAGAATGATGAGACTCGAGTGAAGCGGAGATGAAGGATATACAAAAGCCGAGTGTGGAGAGGCAGTTGTTTGAAGCCAAGTCCAATAACTTCAAATTATTATTCATCGTTTCTTTTCGTCTCTATGTTTATAGTATTTGAAGCATATATTATAAGAAAACACGGTAATTTAAGTAGCTATAGCTATTGTTAATATTCTTTTCTGCTGAAGGAATGGAGACTGTAATGGTTGTGAATCTCCCCTTTTAACTATGAGCCTTATGGAGCTTTTTCTGTTTGCATCAGGCTAACATTTGCAAACTGCATGAAGCTTGAAAATGCATATTTTTTCTCTTTTGTAATTTTTAATGATATTTTAATTTTAAGTGTTATTTTAGATAGTTTGAAAAATGGGGTGTCTTCTCTCCATCTTCTACACTAATTGATTTTATAAAAAAAGAAGCATATTTATCATATTTTCAACAATGTAAATGATGTATGCCACTTTTATTTTTATATATGTCGGCTAATCACATGTTGACTAATGTTTATGTGAGAAAGTTCTCATATCCGCTTTTTTTAATGCGCACAGCATAGAAATTTATAACTCTATATTGAAGTAATACTTTATTTTGTAGAATCACCTTCGCAAAATATGAATCCAGCGGTTGAAACTCACGAAACACGGTCAGTTTTTGATTAAGGTACGATTATGTATTTCTAATCTATAATATATATTGTATGTTTTTATTTAAATTATACTAGCGTCCAGACGGGCACTCACGTGCTTGTGTGCCCGTTTTTTAAATGCACACGTAAAAGTTTAAATGACATTTTTTTTTAATATTAATTATAAATTTCATGTTAGTAAGCATGTATATAATAAGTATACTTTTTTTAATGGATGTTTTAAATGTAATAAAACACAGAGTCATAGTATGTTTTTCAAGCAAGACATAACATTGCTAGAAATTTTTGAAATACTGCTATGACAATCAAATCCCTACTGCCTACTTCAAGTGAGCGTAGACGATGCACTGCAAAATTGTTTCATAAAGAATCTCAAGACATGTGTTGCAAGGGTGGAAAGGTGACAATTACACAGGTGCCTACTCCTGACGAGTTGTTACAGTTATTTTCAGACACTTCTACTGAAGGACGACATTTTAGACAGCATATTAAAAGTTACAACCATGTAATGTCGTTTACTTCACTTGGTGTCCACGTCGACGAAAGTTTGGTTACAACTCGTCGTGGTATTTACACATTTCGTGCTCAAGGCACAATTTATCACAAAATAGGAGGTTTTCATCCGAATCAAGGTTCAAGGTCACGCTACTTGCAGCTATACATTTATGATACTGATCATGAGCTTCAAAATAGGATGAGGGAAAAACCAATACTTAACCAAGTCATAGTGTATAAATTGCAAAAAATACTCCATCAATGCAACCCGTTTGTCATCATGTTTAGGCAGCTTGCACTAGAGCCAAATGTTGAAGAATGTAGGTTACTCATTAAAGAACGTCCGTCAAATCAGCCACAATATAGTCTCCCTTCAGCTTCTCAAGTTGCAGCAATTGTTATTGGTGGTGGTGATGAAGATACAATAGAACGTGGAAGAGATATAAATGTCATCAGCTGTGATGGAAATCTAACAAAGGTTCAAGAAACAATTGGGTATTATGATCCTTTACAATATCCTATATTGTTTCAGTTCGGAACATACGGTTGGGACATAGAAACAAAAAATAATGTTGGAAAAAATGTTACATGCCGAGAGTACTACAGTTATGTGCTTCAGGTACATGCTAAACTTTTTTTTTAAAGAAATTTACTTCTAAAAGTGCAAAAAAAATAGGTCATGATTGATTATTTTTTTCAATGTAGATTCGACATAATGATCAATTTGTATTGTTAAAATCGGGTCGACTTTTACAACAGTATGTTGTCGACAATTATGTAAAGATTGAAACAAGAAGGTTGAGATGGATTCGAAGAAATCAAAATAATATTCGGTCTGAGGTATATCAGGGGTTACAAGATGCATTGCACGATGGGAAGAATAACGCAGGTATTTAATATAACATGTTAGATTTATACATGAAGAGCATCCACTTTATGTTTACCACTATCAGTATATATTGAGGCTATTATTTATAATGTGCAATATTACCTTTGTTTGACTTAATTATAAATGGCGAGTTAAAGATAAAGAGATAATAGAGTTAGTAGATTAGGCTCATAGTTAAATTTAAATTAGGGAGCATACTGATTTAGAAATGAAGGTCCGCTTTATTAGTATAAATATATTTACGTACATCATAAATCTCTATAGATAATCTATGACGTAGGTCTTGAAAAAAATAGATATAAATAATCTATAATTAAGTTAGCCTAAATAATTTACCTAATTGGGGATATTCAAACTAAAATAATTATATAATTTTCAACTTTATGTTATTAGCTTACATATTTATTGGCCATTCAAATAGTTATTCAAATACCTATTAGGTCTTGAACAAAGTCGTTTTCCATTTGATTTATAATTTTCATATATTTCTATAGATAATGTTGGACAAAGGACAATATTACCATCATCATTTATTGGAAGTAAGCGAGACATGCCACAAAGATATCAATATGGTATGGCTATTGTTCTTAATGATGGTAAACCGGATATATTCCTTACAATGACATGCAATCCTTCCTGGATTGAGATAACTTCCGAATTAGGAATCCATCAAACTCCACAAGATCGACCTGATTTGCTAACAAGAATTTTTCGATCAAAATTTGAGCAGTTGAAGGATGATGTCATTAATAAAGGAGTCTTGGGGAGAGTTAGAAGTTATATGTATGTAACGGAATTTCAGAAACGTGGACTACCACATGTGCATATGCTACTCATCTTGGATACTGATGACAAGTTACGGGAACCGGAAGAGTATGATAGTATGGTGAAAGCAGAAATACCACGACATGAGTCTGAGTCAGAATTGTATGAAGCGGTGTTAAAACACATGATCCATGGTCCATGTGGAGTATTGAATCAAAAATCTCCATGTATGAAGAATGGTCATTGTAAAAAAAGATACCCAAATGAATTTTATGAAGAAACGCGTCAGGGAAATGACTCATACCCGGAATACAGAAGAAGGTTTAGTGATCTCATTTTTCTAAATAGAAATAAGTCTATTGATAATAGATGGGTGGTTCCTTATAACCCATGGTTGTTGTTGAAGTATGATTGTCACATCAATGTCGAGATTTGCAGCAGTATCAAAAGCATTAAATATTTGTATAAATATGTTTACAAAGGTCCTGATCGAGTTGCAATGGAAGTTCACAGAGGTACAGGTTTGGATGAGATTCAACAATATGTTGATGCAAGATGGATTTGTGCTCCAGAGGCATTGTGGAAAATATTTAAATTCACACTTTACAAGTTATATCCCTCTGTTGAAAGACTACAAATCCACTTGTCAAATCATCATCAAGTGCGATTTTATAAGCATCAAAGAATCACAGATGTGCTAAATGATAACCAAAATGCAGTAACCATGCTCATTGAATTCTTTGCACTAAACCAAATGGATCCACATGCTAGGAATTATTTGTACAGAGAGATTCCAGAGCATTATTGTTTGCTAAAAGGGGTCAAAAAATGGCAGCGAAGACAGAGAAAACGAAAAGTTATTGGTCGAATCTATACAGTATCCCCTTCAGAAGGTGAGAAATTTTACTTACGTGTTTTGTTGTCTCATTTAAGAGGTCCAACAAGCTGGGAATACCTTCTTACACATAATGGTGCATCTTTTTTCACATTTAAAAAATCAGCTGAGGATTGGGGGTTATTAGAGAGTGATAATAGTAATCGTGAATGTTTGCTTGAAGCATCAAATATGCGTATGCCATATGCTTTACGAAGGTTGTTTGTGACTATATTAATTTTTTGTGAACCATCTGATGTTAGAGGCCTATTTAATGAGTTTTATCCCTACATGGTGGAGGATTATCAAATAACAAATGTTGTTGTGGGGGATAACTTTGAAAATATGTTATTGCGGGAATTGAGGGATCTTTTGCTACTGCATGGAAAACTAATAAAAAACTACGATCTTCCAATGTTGACAACGGAAACAAATGAAGTCGGGGGAGTGCCAACAATTATTCGGAAAGAATTATCGGTCCAAATTCCAAACGAAGACGTTCAATCTGTTGTGAAGTTAAATAATGACCAGATGAGTGCTTACAATATAATTATGAACGCCATCCACAAAAAACAATGTCAAAAAAAATTTTGTTGATGGTCCTGGAGGGACAGGTAAAACTTTCCTTTATCGAACTATAATGGCAAATTTGAGGCGTAATAATGAAATTGTCTTAGCAACAGTTTCCTCTGGTATAGTTGCTACATTATTACCTGGTGGTAGAACTGCACACTCTCGATTTGGGATCCCCATTGATATAGAGCCCCATTCTATTTGCAAAATAGCAAAGAATTCTGACCTTGCAAAACTCATTAGAATAACCAATGCAATCATCTGGGATGAAGCACCCATGATAAATAAATATTGTGTAGAAGCATTGGATCGATCACTTCAAGACATCATGAATAACAATGCTCCATTTGGTGGAAAAATAATGATCATGGGCGGAGATTTTCGTCAGGTGCTACTAGTTATTGAAAAAGGAAATAGAGGACAAATGATTTCAGCATGTATTGTTAGGTCTCGATTATGGGCCACCACAAAGGTCCTACATTTGCGCCAAAACATGCGATCAATTCATGACCAGGACTTTGCGCAGTTTTTGATGAGGATTGGAGATGGTATTGAACCTACTAAAGAGGATGACATGGTCATAATGCCTGCTGAAATTGTAATACCTTGGGAAGGAGAAAGCTCCATAAAAAAGCTTATACAACATACATTCCCCCAATTAGAAAACCATGGATGGGATGTTTCATATATGATGGAAAGAGTCATACTTACTCCAAAAAATTGTGATGTGCATATGTTGAATGACATGATTATTGATAAATTCCCTGGAGATGAACATATTTTGTCATCTTTTGATGAGGTTGAGAGTGATACTCATAATCTATATCAACAGGAATACTTGCACACGATTGCTCCTGGTGCTTTACCGCCACATATTTTAAAGATAAAAATAGGGGCTCCACTGATGTTGTTGCGAAACATAGACCCTAAATTTGAGTTGTGTAATGGGACAAGGTTGTTATGTCGTGGTTTTTTTATGAATTTGCTTGATGTTGAAATACTTACAGGCCACAATGCTGGAAAAAGAGCTTTCTTGCCAAGAATTAAGCTCAAAACCACTGAAGGTGCGGGACTTCCTTTTGTGCTTATTAGAAAACAGTTTCCTGTCAAACTAAGCTTTGCACTCACTATAAATAAATCTCAAGGACAAACAATTCCAAATGTCGGAATTTATCTTCCATGACATGTTTTCAGTCACGGACAATTGTATGTTGCTTTATCAAGAGGTGTTTCGCGGGCTGCAACAAGAGTGCTAATTAAAGACGGAAGAGTAAGTGGGGAAGAAGGGGAGTTTACAAAAAAATATAGTTTTTTAAGAAATTTTGTTGTCACAAACTCAGGTATTTATCTATTATGTTTAATCATTCAACTATACTTTTGCAATCTCACACTAGGCGTGTACTTACTAGATTACACTATACCGTTGACTACTACTAAAATTTACTTCATTTGTTTTGCAGTGAAACGAGAGATATTTTTGATTTTGATTCCATGGTTGACCTTCGTATTAAACAATAATGTAACTTAATATCCGTGTTAATGTTTATGTTTAGTTGTTTAATAAATTGTGAGAAAGATTTTTGTTCTTCTTCTATCTAAATCTTCTTATGGTTTTGACTAATCTATAACAATATATAAATAATATATAAATACAAAATTTAATGTTCTATCATATAAATAGTTTATATTAAAATCAATATAAATAGTTTATAGTAAAATTAAATTTATAAAAATATACGCTGTTAATATTTTTGCGCGTTAGCGCAATAAAAAAAGCGGGCAAACGGGCACGGACGTGCCCGTTTGGACGCTAGGGATATTTGAAAGGGAATAATACTAGTGAAATTTATGTTTTGTTATTTTATTAACCAATAGTCATATTGTTGTTTCTAATTTTTAATTTTCGAACTGCGGATACAAAAGAAAAAGCACTTTCCGATGCTAGAGGAAAGTGATTAATTCTGAAAGCATTTACTTATTTACTTATTAGTTATATTCAAATTTCAAAACACATACAATATATTTTATTAATTTCTATACTACTCCTCATTAAAGTTGGTTGACACTAGAGAGAATAGTTAAAAATATATTTTAGAAATTAAAAATAAAAAAAGAGTTTTTAAATTTTTTAAAATTAAATAAATATTGTAAGAAATTTTATCCTAAAAATGGATGAATTTGATAGATATTTTAAGAATTAAAATAAATATCGCAAAAAATAAAATAAATAATTTTATGGATGAATGACTATTCATCGATTAAAAATGTGTTAATTGATGGATTAGATGAATTTTATTTTTAATTCATTCGTTAACAATTCAATTTATATCCATCTAATTCATCCAACTTGCTACCATCCGTTTGAAGCAATGTTTTAAAAATCTGATTGGAGAACAAACCGGTGAAACTTGTTTTTGGTGTAATTTTTTTTTTCTTCTAGCTATACCCTTTTTAGTTTTTTTATTAAATTTGAACTTCTTTTTTATTAATCACTATATGGTGGTTTACATACTTCTTTCATTCTACTATTTTTTTATTATTTTATAAATAATTTAATTAAAATAAAAATAAAATATACAAAAAATATCGTTTATATTTTGACCCGTCTGTGCATAAATAAAAGCGGACGTGTCCGTCTAAACGCTAGTAAACTAATAATATGAAACTAAATTTCATAAATATGTCACACATAATCATGTTTTCACAACTTAAAAAAATAAATATTTAAAAAAACCATTACAAACATAATACAACAATGTCGATAGTTCATATAATAACATAACATAGTTGTACACTTCATTTCAATCTTCATTTAAAAATAATTTGAACAAATTAAAGAATTACAATAAAATAAATTAAACTAATTCAAACTAAAATTAAAATAATAGAACATAATAACTAAAATAAATTTCAAATACTTTCAAATATCAAAATTAAATATGATAAAATAGCAAAAAATACAATATACTTAATTAAAACAAAAATAAATAAATTCGAATTGAACTAACAATATTGACTTGAACGACAATCAATATTGAGTAATAGTTCGACAACATGATTATGTTTGAAAGACACAGCATGATGATGATGAAATGTGGTTGAAAGAAAAATTATAACAGAGTGACAAAACTTAAAAGTTTGTACAGTGGTAAAGAAAACATGTAATTCTTCTTTGTGATTGAGAAATGTATGTTAAGTTTTTATGTTAAACTTTTTTTTAAAGAAAACTAAAAAATGGACGATAAATTTTTTTGAACCGGACAGTTTTATAAAACCGGCTTCAATTCCTTGGTTCGAATGGTTTTGACCACTTCAATCTAAATTTTTCGATTTTACTCAAGTTTTGACCAACTAGCTATTTTAAAAAGTCAATCCAACCAGATTCATCTCCAGTTCTCGATACAATTAGTTAAACAAACCGATTCGATTCGATTTTTAAAACATTTGAAGCTAACCCAGTTATTCAAAAAGATTTATGAACACAATTATCGTTTTTCTTATAAATAATTGACTTTTGATGAAGTACATTACAATTGACTCTTTCTATATGTACTATTATCATGAACTGAACCGAACCGCCGAACCAAACCGAGTTGAAGTTAAAATATTTAAACCTTTATATTTGGTTAGTGAACCACTCCATATTAAATAAAACGGTTCTAGAACCGAACCGAAACTAAAACCGAACAGAAACTGAAACCGAACCAAAATTAAAAATTAAAAATACTAAAAGTAAGTTTTAAATTTTTTTTTAAAAAAAATGAAAAATAATTTAATAGTTCGATTCTTTAATAAACAGTTTGATTTGGAAAATTTATCTTCTAAAAATTCGGTATGGTTAAGAATTTCCAAATGGTATACCAAACCAATTATTTTGGTTAGGTTCGGTTTTGAGTAAATTGAAACGGTTCGATTCGGTTTGAATAAGCTTTTACTATGGTTCGGTTCGGTTGGATTTAGGTTTTTTACTAAACTGAACCGTGAACAGCCTACTGTACTATCACAAAAACAATAATATCAAACAATTTTATCTTTACACGGTACTAGTAGGAAACAAGAAGAAAGAATTGAGTCAACAGATTTTCACATTAAGCCTAAGAACACACTTAGATGAAAACAGTCATTAACTGATACAACTGCACAAAGAATGTGAAATATGGTCACAATTAAAGAATCAAAGGGTATGATTCTCACACTAGCAGCAGAAATGACCTGTTGTTGGAGGTGTTCGGTTTTCGAATAGTTCTGCAGGTCCATTCTGGTCTTTAAATGTTTGTGGCATTGTTGTAATAGTTCTTGAATGTTACGAAAATACAGAAACATACATAAATGCATATTTTGTTTGTTAGTTTGGTCATCGATCGCGTCTTCCATTAATAAATGTGATTCATCAAAATTAATAACAAAAACATACTCTGATGTTTCTGTATTTCATACATTCAAGAACTATAGTGACAGCATCGCCTCACATTTAGAAACCAAAATGACTTTTTACTCGTTTGCTTATTTATATGTATCATACTTTGGATTCAGTTGCTCTGGATACTTGGAAGAATTGGCTTTTCGTTTTCAGAAATTTCTCCAGATCGACTTATTATCTTTCCGTTCTTCTTCTCGTACTCTAGTTTCAGTTCCTCTAATCGCTTCGTTATCTGACAAGAACAAAGACGTAGATGCATAATCATAAGAAATATGTGACTTTGAACAAAAATAATATATTTTGAATTCCAAGGAGAAAAACAAGTCCTTTTGGTTCTGCACCAGTGTTGTTAAATGGTGGCCATAGCAATAGCAGCGCTATATAGCATTTACCCTAGCAGAATTTGTTGGAATCGCTATTTTTGGCGCACCACAATAGACAACACTGGTCTGTGCAAGTGAAAATAGATTGGAAAAGTGTAGGAAGGAATAGAACCTTGATGGAATAAGCCAACGGCAATAACGTGTCAGGATTCATTGCATCCTCGGAGAAGTTTTTCAAGCCATGTATCAGTTTCTCAAAGGGTAATTTAACCTGATGAGCAAACGAAAAAACAAGCAATGAGTGGAAATTCGGTTTTTGACATAAAAAACACAAAGTCGCATTATTACTTATTACTCACCAAGTCATCATGGCAGTACTTTAATAGGGCCAAGCCAACTTTAAAAACAATTTTAACACCCTGTGAGGATAAGAATGTCATTATTATAAATTAGTATTTGCATCGCAACAAATGGAAATTCTTGGGGAGAGCGTGGCTTACCTCGTAGAGAAACACATCCCAGATTCGCAAAGCTAAATGGAATGGAAAGGAATATGAAAATACAGTTATGAACCACTGGCTTGCGTACATGCTAGGATTAATCATTTCTTGTGAAAAATGTTCTCCCAACTTCGGTAGATGCTCCCTCACCAAACGTTCAAATTGAAAGAGGTATTGCTGTACCAGAGGCAATCCTGCCTACATTCAAAGAGCAAGTAATAGTCACAACATGCGTTCAAATTAAAACATTTCAAGGTCTTTAGTCATACAGAGCAATGTAGTCAAGCACGGGATCTTAAGTAGGATCGTTCGGCTTGTGAAAGAACACAAAACTCGGATCGTTAGCACGGCAAGTAAGAACCTACTGATGGGAAATATGGCAATTTCATATGTATTTATATACACATATACACAAAAATTTGAAAATTATAATTCGGGCCCAAAAATAAGGCCCAGCACGTTTTTTTACAATCTTGCTTCAAAAGGTTCAATCTTGACCACAGTGGTAACGAAAACGATCTTTCTCTGATCATAGCACTCTCAGGCATCCTTGCATGTAAGATCTTACAATCTTACGATCCAGCACTCAATCTTAACTACACTGATACAGAGTGCCAGTGTTGTCAAATAGCTGCTATAGCAGCGTTACAGTGCTATAATAGTGTAACAGACTAACAAAAATATGAACATATCGCTATTGTTCTGTGATATGCAATTTGGTACAAAGAGTTGTCAAATAGCAGCTATAACAGCAGTGTATCATTGTATCATTGTGGTGTAGCAGAATTAGAACAAACAGCTATTTTTCGCAATATGCGATTGAGGTAATACTGCATATTGTAAGTTACAAGAGAAAGGGATAACATAACTCATTGACAGTATCAACAATTAAAACAAATGAATTCATGGAACAGAATAGTTACCAGATACAACCCCTCCATTGGCGCATGAACGGCACCTTTAAGCAATGCCACCAATAACCAAAACGCATCCTCCTCGCTCATGTAAAGAAGCAACAGACCAGCTAAAAACCCCATTCCCTGGACATATCCTACGTCTCGGTCAAAAACTGAGTAAGCTTTTAGAACGTTGTAGAGAGATCGTTGCCCAGGTCCGTGTCTTTGTTGGAAGAATACATGAGAAGGGAAAGTCCGAGAAATGTCTCGAATTATATCCAATTCAGAGGCTGATGTCTCATATATCACCAATTGCTGCAATAAGCATCATACTTTGTCAAAAAGACAAATGTGGTACAGTTGTTGAATAATATTCGGGACAATGTCATTAATCAAGAGTGTACAGCATAAACATTTTTCATGCAAGTGTTTATGCATAAGCTATTTCTATAACAAACGATAAAGTAGTCAAATTATTTTCATTTAACCTATAAGCTGTTTTTGTAAGGTATCCTAGAGATCATAAAAATTAAGTTGAAAACCGCTCATGGACATTACATAAGTTGTCTCCATAACCTCTCTCGAACAGACCCACAACTACTTATGTCAATAGATAAGTTCAAATAGTTAATCCCAAGAGACCTCTAACACATAGCCATCAGAAACCTAATTGTACTTGCAAAATGTAATTTTCTTCAATTCATATTAGTTAGTGAACTGCAACAAGAACAAAACTGTGACTAGCACTAATCATAGCTTATAGAATATCGTACAGATAAATCACAATATATCATTTGAACAAGTTAACTTGATTACCTCGTAAACTCCAGGATTCATCAGCAATAGGTCTCGGCTTCCAGATATTAACTGCCAAACAAGGCCCCTTAAACAATCAGGAATTCCTTTCCTTATACGCCTTTTAACAACATTAGGTTTTTTCCTTAGGTAATGTTTCCAATCACTGCCACCAACCCCAATCATCTTCCTCCATTTTCTAACCCTTCTCCGCTCCTTAATTCTGATCAAAGATAGAGGACTATAAAGTTAAAAATAACCGACCAAATTTCGATGCTAATTCATGCTTAAAAACACAGAAACACATAAAGCAGTAAGAGAAAAACAGCATACTTCTCATACTCATATGCTGATCTACTCGTCTTGACTACGCCCTCAGAAGTGTTAGCATCCGGTTTTACAAACCCAAATCTATCCAACGATCTTGGTGAAGGAAGTGGACCTGATTCATAGTCGTCATTTCTTTTCTTTTCCATTCAAAAAGCACAAATTAACTCTCTCAAACCAGAACATAAATGACATAGTTTGCCTCCTTAAACATTACTACGGAAAAAACCTGAAAATAAAAGTGCAAAAAAGATGATGTCATTATCATTTTACTAAAACCATTGAAAGGAAAAGAGAATAAATCTGCACACACATAGTTGCAGAATTTGCTTAATTCATCTAAAGTTGTTAACATGCACACCAAGTATATACACCACCACCACTACCCTTCCTACAAATATAGAGTAACTAAATCCTGCAAATTAACAATGCTGTTAAATAGTGGCTATAGTTGCCCTATAGTGCTATAGCATAGCGAAAGTTATTGTTCCGCAATACACTATTTAGTACAAATGTTGTCAAAATGTTGTCAAATACCGGCTATAGCTGCACTAAAGCACTCGTGTAGGGGAATTTGAAAAGTCGACTATTTGCTGTAATTGGCTGATAACTTTACAAAATAAATTGATATCTCTGTAGCAAGGTAGTCAAACACGGGATCTTAAGTAGGATCGGACAGGATCGGACGGCCTACAAAAGAAGAATCGTTAAAGGAGAAGGAATAATATCGAGTAAGGAGTAAAGATGCAGCCGTTTTGTCTTTTGGTGTTTTAGGGTTAGGTCTAAGAACTTAATTAAAAAGCTGGGTTCACTTAAAAAAAACCGACCTGGTAACAAAAGCCCAACAAAACAGGCCCAGGCGCCCAGCACTATATTTTTTACGATCTTACTATGGAAAACTCGATCTTGACTACAAAGATACACAAAAAAGTTTTTTTCAAGATCGTAGCACTAAAAGGTAAATTTAGCTTAAGCATTCGATCTTGACTGCCTTGCTCTGTAGCACCGACACCTTTAAAAAAAGTGTCAAAAAACGGACATCGACCCTTGTCATTTTTCAATTTTTTTTAATTACGTTACCTTTAATTTATTCATTTTTCAAATTATTTCAAAAGTGTCTTCGTGTCACTGTCGTATTTCCGGTGTTCATGCTTAATAGATTGATATATCTCAAAAAGTAAAGTAAAAACATGTTCCTTTCATTCTTCATTAAGCTATAACTTATAACCGAATGCTATGATTGTGCTCCCAAAGATACACTATCTATAAATTTCAGTTTTTCCATTCAATTTACAACAGCTAATTCTAAACTTCACAAAGAGCTAAAAGAACACGATTTACAACAAAAAAAAAAGTGTGATTTCACGAACCATACAATAAACCTGAAGGTATATATGATGTGGTTTCAATTCAGCATTCAAATAATAACAGATTATTATATCTAATAATAAAAATCAGCGGTGGTAACAAAAGGGGGTTAATTAGGGCACCCAAAATTCTCAAAAAAATCATTATCAACAACGAACCTTGAAATTGTGAATGATAGGGTTAATTGATTGGAGGGTATTAGTGTGTGAGATTGTGAAAGAACAAGAAGATTTTGGATGTGGGATTGCCGGAAAAACCCTCGAAAATTGGAAATTGAGGTTCAACGGTTGTGTTTGGAAGAGAAGGAAGGAACGACCGAAAATAAACATGAAATTGAATGCAGTTGCCAGATAAAGAAGAAATGATCTGTTTTTTTTCTTTTGGGTAAGGAGAAAAAATTGATATTTGTGTTATTATTGATTATATTATTAATTTTTTTTTAAAAAAATTAAAATAACCATATTTTTAGAAAAAATATCGAAATAATCATATTTTTTAAAAAAATTGCCCACAAGAGGAGGCGTCACAGGCACTAACGCATGCATTCACATTTTGAACCTAGACATTATAGGGCATGGTGCATGCATTCGTGTTATGCCACATCCTTCAGGAGCATGCGTCATAGTCGGTAGTTACTATGTTGTTTTGAGTTTTTATATATGTAGTGCATCATTTCCCCATCATTTTTCACTTATCTTCTAAATCTTTCCTTTAATTTTTTTTATAAATATTGTGTTATATTATCAAGAGAAATGTTAATTTGGTTTATTCAACAGTAAAGCCTCTGATGAAGATTTGACTCTGGAACACAGAGACCTTTTGAGCATCTTTAGAGGATCTTGATCCGTTTGTTAGATGGAAATATTGCAGACGGTGAAAAGATTAGAAGAATTCAAAGGCTTGTTATTGTGTACATCAATAATGGAGAAAGTCGTATTTGGGAGTCAAATAAATTGACAGTGTCATATTATGATGCATAGTTCAGAGGAAATTGTCTTGATGGTTGTAATCGCATAAATATGTTGTTTAGTCGTTTTATTTGTTTGCCTTATTGTTTAGTTGTTTTAAATTGTTGTAACTGAATGTTGTGAGCTTTATGAAATGAACGTTATTTTCAATATCAAATAAAATGGTTACATAAAATGAATTGCATATAAAATGCAGGACTAAAAGTGGATTATTGAATTATGTTGTGGAGTTTGCTCCAACATTGGGACATTTTGTACGATTGTGTCCGGGCTGACGTCATGAACTACACAATTTTACCTTTTTGTTTGTCGTATCCATTTCGGTTCGAATATGAGTGTTGTTAGGGCGGTTTATTTTCTTTCTTTGCATATTTTCATTGTGTCAAATTATCTCCCTTGATATGCAGGCCAATAATCCTCATTTTCTACCACCTAAAAGTTATTATTGTATACAATGCATAAGTTAATAACTTTGTTAACGACAGATAGTGATCTGACCTGATTAGAAGGGGATCACTAGCTGGCCACACTCTGCTGGGCTGCTGCCTGTTCATCGGTGATGAAGATGAGGAGGGGATGTACCTGCAAGACACTCCGATGTCAAAGTAAGGAATTGGACAGAGTGGCCACAAATACAGAAAAGGGGTAAGAAGTGAATTACCTGACCCTCTTGTGGAGAAGGGTATTTATAGAGAGATTCCAGCGATGGGCCAACAGTCACTTGTGTTGGGTTGGATTGTCAGGCCCAACCCAGGTGACTGCTAGGACTTACGTTGCATAGTGAAGACCAGGATGTGGTCTTCGCCCTAGTCCAACTGTCACGTGATCTCCGGAAAGTGGGTTTGACCTGCTCTTTCGGAGGTGGGCAGTTGGTCGGTGACGTGTCCCCGCGGAGGGGGCACGTGGAGAACGTGTGAGAGGCACGTTATCCTGCCCGACAGGAGAGCATGTTCTGCCCGGGGAGGGCAGGTTCTGCCCGCGGAGAGGGCAATATTTGGTCGATGTGGGAGTCTTGTGCTCGACGTAACTGGGGCAGGTCTGCCCGCGGAGGGGCGTTACCTGCTCGTCGGGGACCTTGTGCCCGACTCTACGGCCCAAGCTAGACTGGGCTTGGCAGAATATTATTGGGTTGGGTCTGCCTGGCCAAGCCGGGGCCTAGGCCAGAACAGATAGTAAGTTGAAAAGGTCTTGTCGAGCCTTTAAACATGTTGTTATGACATGAAAGCAAGGCATACGAAAGGCTTGGAACTTCCCACAATCGCACCAACCTCTATCTATGTTGACTCGATAGTATCCCCTTGGTCTCCCCTTATTATAGTTTAATGGCTCATCTACATTGAACCAACTTTTATAACGATCAAACATTATGACCACTTATGTGTTAGCTTTGGAAGTTTCCTCCTGAATGAATTTTATTTAAGTTTCACTGAACAACTGCCCTGATTGTAACATTGAACTCCATTTTGAACGCATGATCTCAAACAGTGGCCCTAACCTGAAATAGGTTGCTCCCACCAAAGCGGTTATTGGTAGGTTTTGGATGCCTTTGAAGACAAAGTTCATTGATTCCATAAGATGTGTACTTATACAATATCAATACGGTGTGGATTCGTAATCATAATTTTTCAGTTTAATCACCAAAAAGACAAATTCAAAGTGTTGATTCTAACAAAATCTACACTTTAACAAATAAATCACACCCCAGGCAAAATCTAACATCCTACAATTTTATGAAAGCAATAAAAACAACCTAACATACTAATTCTACAAAATTAAAAGGAATGAGAGAGAGAGAGAGAGAGAGAGAGAGAGAGTGTGTGTGTGTGTGTGTGTGTGTGTGTGTGTGTGTGTGTGTGTGTGTGAGAGAGAGAGAGAGAGAGAGAGAGAGAGAGAGAGAGAGAGAGAGAGAGAGAGAGATGAACATTGGACTTATAGTTGTTCAACTATCATCCTTTCTAAGCTTAATCAACTCTTTGATGGTTTCCCATATAAAGTTTACATCTTCCAATATTATTTATGACAAATTACATTAGTTTTAGTACAATGACAATATAAAAATAATGTTGAAAATATAAAAGTTGTCCAATCTAGATCCCTTGATTCACACACAATATCTGAATTGAAATCTTGTGAGATCTTTACTCAAAATTGCCTTGAATATTCCAACCCTAACAAACCTACTCCAAAGTGTGTATTTTGTAGTGGTATTTCCTCGATCCTACCAATATCTTAAGCATTGGTCTTTCCAAAGATTGAGAAGACCTCACATTTTGTCTGTAGGCTTCCACACAGCACTACAAAAGTGAGTATAGAGAAAAGAGCCTCTTCTTTTCCACTAGAACTGTCAAAACCAACCACAACACCACACACCTTTTGAACCTCTGAAATCTTCAAAGAAACGTTAAATCCAATTATCGAATATCCTCAATAATCGCAAATCTCCAATTATGACGTTTAGATCCATGTGAAAATGGAATTAGAATGAGGTAGAAGATTAAAGAAATCGTTTGCAAGCATTCAAGAAGTATTCAAAAAACTTTTTGAAAATGAGAGAACAAGTGAGTTGTGAATTTTCAAATTAATATTGAAAGTGTATGTTTTCTAACACTGTTGAATGTTTTGAGATAAAATTTTATTTGTATGAGTTGGAGATCTAGCACAAAATGAGTGAAAATGGTGTATGACTTGAGCCATAAGTAAGAGGTATGATATGAGCTAAAGAACCAAGTGATTTGAATCAAGAAGATAGAACATATGAAAACCCATATGTGTGATTCAAGTCACACAATTTGTGATTCGAGTCTTGAATATTTGTGATTCAAGTTAGTTTCTATAAGCAAAATGTAAGTCTTCCAATTCATTGTGGTTCGAGTCAAATAGCCTTGTGATTCGAGTCACGCAACATGTGATTCAAGTCGGAAAGATTGTGATTCAAGTCATGAAAACCTAAAATGAGTCCTTTAGCTCTGTGGCGGTCTGATTCGAATTAGATGAATAGTTTGATTCGAGTCACACTAATATAACCTCATTCTTTTTAAGTTTTTAAAAGCTTTTTAAGATTTTACCATAGTTATGACTTGAACCATTTCCACACGTGGTTCTTGATCCCAAAACCAAAGCATATTACTTAAACTCATATCAAACACTTTTATTTATACATGCTTAAACATGGATTTAAAATCAATCCATATATGCACAATTTATGAGGATACTCAATGACAAAAATTTAAAAAAATAAAAGGCTTAAAATGCAAGCAATCAAAACCATAACCTTTGAGGTATCAGAGACAGGAAATACAACTTCAATATGAGACGCTTTTGAAATGATCTCTATAGTATCTCCAAGTATCAAGCAAAAGGGAATGAACACACGATGCAAGTAATTTTAAACACCAGATGAATGTAATTATTACTTTCACAGATGGTTTTCAAACCTTAGAAATTTTGAAATCCATGTTAGAACTTATGTCGCTAATAAATATATAAGTTAAAAATTGGAATTAAAAACTAGGTCCAATACATAATCAAAATATGGGGATGTTTATAGTTTTCAAGAAAAATATAATCAGTAAGAAGTCATCGAGAAACTAAACGAGTTGGTTCAATTGTTAAAAGATGAAGGGATGAGATCAAATCTAGAAGAATCTCTATAAACTTCATTAAGTAACTCTTTTGAAGAAGAAGAAGAAGAAGAAGAAGAAGAAGAAGAAGAAGAAGAAGAAGAAGAAGAAGAAGAAGAATTAACTCCAATAGTCTCTTTTAAAAGAACAATCTCGGTGAACAAATGATCCTCGGAAGATTCAAAGTCCAATGGAGAAAATTTATAAAAAAAAGAGAATATAAAGAAAAAGAAGTTTTATCTAGTGGAATCCTCGAATGAATAAGCGAGAAAGATGTTTCAATGATACATATCTTTCGAGACTTAACATCAAGGAGAAATCATGAAGAGTCAACCTTTGGCATACTCTTTGAAGAATCTTCTTCCAACAAAGAAGATGAATAAGTTTGTTTTAAAGCTACTCACGAAGAAGATGACTGTGAGGTAACAACGTTATCATATAAGAAATTGTTTTAATTAAATGCTAAGTTAATCGAGGAATATGATAAGAGTGAAAAATGTAACATAGATCTTAAAGACTACATTGAGTTTCTAGAAAATAACAATGAAACACTAAAATATGAAATGGATAATCTTATAAACTAAGCTAGTAAATGTTAAAATTATGTCTCAATGAAAAAGTGAGTGAAAGATCTTCATGAAACCCTTAGTAAATTTACTAAGGAGAAAGAAAACCTATATTTTATTATATCAAACCAAATACCTTCCCTGAATAAAACCTCCTTATACTATATTATTATGT